GAGGAGCAGAAACAAGATCCTACTGTGTGTGTGAGGGGAAGCGGGGGGGGGGGGGGGGAGGTATGTGCTAAGTTACAGATGGAAGAGATTAGAGCTAGAACCAAATAGGAACATCTTTTCTAGGTGTCAATCCAAATTAGCTAACCCTCCATCTCCAATTCAGTAGCCCTCATGGTGCTGCAAGGAGCCCTGGTGGTGCTGTAGGACACGCACTGGACTGCTAACCAGAAGGTCAGCAGTTCAAACCCACCAGCCTCTCTGTGGTAGAAATGAAGTTTTCTGCTCCTGTAAAGACTTACAACCCCAGAAACCCTGTACAGGGTCACTATGAGTCAGAATTGACTCAGTGGCAATGTATGGGTGGTGGTGAGTGTGGGTAAGTGTGGGGCTGCTAATTTCAAGGTCAGCAGGTCAAACCCATCAGCCACCCTTGGAGAGAAAAATGACGCTGTCTTCTCCCATTAAAGATTTGCAGTCTCAAAAACCCTACATAGGTTTGCTGAGTCAGAATCGACTTGATAGCAGTTGACTTTGGTTTTCATCTCTTTCTAAAGGTCCCTACACAAGCAGCAGCAGCATCTACCAAGCTCCAACAAAGGAGTTCTGGTAGCGTAGTGGTTACAAATCGGGCTATGAACCGCAAGGTCAGCAGTTCGAAACTACCAGCTGCTCCGGGGGAGAAAGATGAGGCTTTCTGCTCCCGTAAAGATTTACAGCCTCAGAAACCCTGTACAGGGTCGCTATGGGTCGGAACCGACTTGATGGCACTTAACAACAATAATAATGTGCCAGACAGCATACCAGTTCCTTATCTACAAATACATCATGGCTCATTCTCACATCAACCAATGTACAAAATATAATTTCCATTTTATAAGCAGAAAAACTGAAACCCGGAGAACCTGTCCTAGATTGTTGAACCAGAAAGAAAAGAAGTATTTCAAAGAATAATTTGCCCATAAATAGTCCTGGTGTGGTGCTGAGGGATAATGCACTGAACCATAAAGTCATTTGAATCACAAGATCAGCAGTTCAAACTCACCAGAAGCTCCTCAGAAACCCTACACAGGGTCACTATGAGTCGGAACCGACGTGACAGCACTTAACAACTTAACAACAGTGAAACTGATAGAAATATTCTAGGAACTCTCAAATAAGTATATCAGGACAGTGTACTTGAATGTTTAAAGTACTGTATTTTAAATACTGAATGTAAATAGATGAGAAAACAAAAACGTAGATCAACAGATCAAAATACGGTATAGACCGAAGACCAGAAGAACATCACACAGAAAGAAACCAAAAGGTCATTCATTAATAAGACAAGAAAAAAGGAAAAGTTCAAAATGGATGTCAGAAGAGACTCTGAAACTTGCTCTCTGGCGTACAGATGCTAAAACAAATGGAAGAAATGAGGAGGTAAAAGAGTTGAATAGAAAATTTCAAAGGTCAGCTCAAAAAGACAAAGTTAAATAGTATAATGAAATGTACAAAGACCTGGAGGTAGAAAACCAAAAGGAAAGAACACGCTCAGTATTTCTCAAGCTTAAAGAAGTGAATTAAAAATACCAGCCTCAACTTGAAATACTGGAGGAGTCTATAGGCAAAATATTGAATGATGCAGGAAGCATCAAAATAAGATAGAAGGAATAACAGAGTCACTGTACCAAAAGGAAATGGTTGATGTTCAACCATTTCAAGAGGTAGCATATGATCAAGAGCCAATGGTAATGAAGGAAGAAGTCCAAGGTGCACTGAAGGCATTGGCAAAAAACGAGGCTCTGGGAACTAATGAAATATGAACTGAAATCTTTCAATAAACTGATGCAGCACTGGAGGCATTCATTTACCTATGCCAAGAAATTTGGAAGACAGCTACCTGGCCAACTAATTAGAAAAAATCCTTATTTGTGTCCATTCCAAAGGTGACCCAACAGAATGCAGAAATCATCAAACAATATCATTAATATCACATGCAAGTAAAATTTTGCTACATATAATTAAAAAATGGCTGCAACAGTACACTGACAGATGTACAGTCATTGCTTGCATCAGATGAATTTTGAGGAAAAACAGAGAATACCAGAAAGATGTTTACCTGTGCTTTATTAACTATGCAAAAACTATGGAAAGACTTTCGATTGTGTGGATCATGACAAGCTATGGACAACACTGCAGAGAATGAGTATTCCAGAACACTTAATTGTGCTCAGAGGAACTTGTACATAGACTAAGAGGCAGTCATTTGGACAGAACAAGGGGACAATGAATGGTTTAAAATCAGGAAAGGTGTGTAGCAGGATTGTATTCTTTCACCATACTTATTCAATCTGCATGCTAAGCAATTAATTCAAGAAGCTGGATTATATGAAGAAGAATGTGGCATCAGGACAGGAGAAAGACTTCAATGCAGATGATACAACCTTGCTTGCTGAAAGCAAACAGGACTTCAAATACTTACAAAAAAAAGTTGAAAACCCTCACCACTGGACCAATAACAACATCAAGATAAATGGAGAAAGGACTTCTGTGAAAGACTTCATTTTGCTCAGCTTAACCATCAACCCTAGAAACAGCAGTCAAGAAATCAAACAACATTTTGCACTGGGTAAATCTGCTATGCAAGACCTCTTTAAAACGTTCAAGAGCAAAGATGTCAGTTGGAGGACTAAGGTGCACCTGACCTAAGCCATAGTATTTTCAATAACCCATACGCATGTGAAATAAGGAAGACTACAAAAGAATTGATACATCTGAGTTACGATGTTGGAGAAAAATATTAAAAGTACCATGGACTGCCAAAAAACCCCCAACAAATCTGTGTTGGAAGAAGTACAGCGAGAACACTCCTTGGAAGCCAGGATGGCCAGACTTCATCTCTCAAACTTCAGACATATTATTAGGAGGGACCAGTCCCCAGAGAAGGATATCAGACTTGGTATAGTGAAGAGTTGGAGAAAAAGTGGAAGACCCCCAACAAGATGGACTGGTGCAGCAATGGGTTCAAGTGTATCAACGATTGTGAGGTTGGCCAAGGACCGAACAGTGTTTCGTTCTGTTATGCATACGCTCACTATGAGCCGATTCTGACTCAATGGCACCTAAGAACAAGAAGCAACCTTTTCATTGGAACCCAACAGAAAACTATTCTAAGTCTTTTCAGAATAAATGATTCCACACAATTTGAGTCTGCCATCCTTTCATCATTCTTCCATTTAAACAAAGGGACCTGAACTTGATTCCCATACACTTCCAGTTTGGATAGCTCATACTATCGAATATGAGCTGACCCCTTCTCCTGACTCCTCACATGCCTCCTGGCCCAGCTTCAACAACAATTAAAGCAGTTTCTGGCTACTGGGCGCCTTGCCCTTTCTGTGAATGATTTCATTAAATGAATCTCTCTACAGTCTCTCAGACCATGTACCAGCATCATTTCCTTTTTACAAAACTATCTCCATTTTACAGATGAGGAAATGGAGGTTCCAAAAGGAACTCGAGGGGTAGAGTTGAGTGCAATCCTCTGTGCTCCAGATGGGAAAAATGCCCAGCTCACCTCTTTGTTATGCTGTTCCTTTAGCAGGTCTCGGAGGGTGCGGTTGGTCTCCTCAAATGTGCTCAGCTTCTGCAGGAGAAGTTCCTTCTGCCTCGTCAAGGTGTTGATGTCCGTGCAGGTCATTTGTTTCTCCTAGAAGGCAACCTGGCAACCTCACAACATGCAAGGGGAGAAGGGAAGAGGCAGCAGATGCAGGTGCTATGGAAGACTTCAGAAGTGCTGGGTGCCAAAATGCCTAGGTAAGAAATGCTAAGGCTGCGTATAGAGTCAGGGTAGTTAAGAGCAGGCTTCCTGGAGGAAGGAGAAGGTAGACCTAGAAGAATCAACAGGATCTGGGTCCGCTGCAAGAAGTGGGGAAGAGGGCTGGAAAGCTCAGTCTGGGCAGGTATAGTCAGGGCAGGCTTCCTGGAGGAGGCAAGGGAGGAAGAAGACACCTGGTGGCTGCTACTTGCGGAAATCAACCACATGCCTTGACTCAGTATGATCCAAGGTGACCCATGATGAGGTCTCCTCAGAGGTCCTGGCCACCAGAGGTCATCTTCAAGGGTTAGGGGTCTAGGGAGTATGAGTAGGAGGGTGGGGGCTGAGGAGACAAGTGTGCCCTGCCCTAGCCCAGTTATGTCATAAAGTCAGCTTGATGACTGCACAGAGACCTCAGCTCAGCCTGGCGCTGTCCCCTCTGCTCAGGTCCCAATGCCCGGGCTGGGGTTGTCCTGCCAGTCACCTACCGTTTTCAACTTCCCGATGGTGTCCTTCAATGCCATGACTTGTTTAGCGGCAGCAGCTCCATCCATTTCAGCCTCCACCAGCTTGGACATGAGGCACTCCTTCTCCTGCTGGAGGTGTTTCTTCTGAAGCCTGGGGCCAGAGAGAACAGGGCTCTGTGAGCCCTCCCAGGGCCCTGCCCACCCAGAGCTACATGGCTCACCTCACAATGCCCCTGCAAGGCTCATTTCCTGGTCAGGGAACAGTGGGGGAGGGGACAGAATAGCCCTTCTAGCCAGAGTACCTTCTGTAAGGACGAGGGGCAGAAGCCATGCTCCCACCTCAGCATGAGACCAGGACCTCCATGCCACCTCTGGTCCTGCTTATCTCTTAGCCTTTATGCTAGGGCTCATACTGCACCCAACACTGCCACAGCCTCTTGACTGCTAACTTCAGATCTGTTTTTGAGCCCTCCCACCCATTCTCCATACTGCAGCCAAGTCTGATCATGCCGTTCCTCTGCTTCTACCACCTTCCCATAGCTCCCATGTCCATTCTTTAAAGTGGGCTCTAAGAGTTGGCCCCTGCCAATCTGTGCAGCACCCCTTGCTCTTGACCTACACCTCCCTTTTCCCTGTTCTAACCTACTTTCCATTCCTCAATCATAAACTCTGTGGTAGAGCCTTCACAGAAGATGCTCCTCTATCTAGTATGTTGTTGTTGAGTGTCATCATGTCAGTTCTGACTCAGAGACTCTGTATAGGGTTTCCGAGGAGCAGCTAGTGAGCTTGAACTGCTGACCTTGTGGTTCAAACTGACCTTGTGCTTATCCTACAGCACCACAATGCTTCTATGCTATTCTCACCATCTTGCAGGACACTCCACTTAATCTTAACTTTCCCAGAGTCTGCTCTTCTACCACACTCAATGGGGTCTCTTCCTTTTGCCTCACAGCATGAATCACAAGAGTAAAAGGGTAATTCCCTGTGTGACTGTGTGGAACAGCTATTCCCTGAGCTAGACTGTGCTCTAAGACATAGCAGCCTCCTTTGGAGCTAGGGTAGCCAGACCTGAGAAGTGTGGAATGAAGGGATCAACTCAGAAGGGCAGAGCGGGGCAGTGCCTTACATGGTGAAGTCCTTCTCCTCCTTGATGCGCTCAATGTTGTGCCTGAGGACCGTGTTCTCATGCTCAGTCTCTGCCAGTTCATGGGCCACCTCCTCTAGCTCCTCCTTCCGCTCTTCAAGGAACCTCTTGGCCATCTGGCGCTCACCCTTCTGCATCTTGACCTGCACAAGGGCATGCAGGCAGGGGCCACTGAGGGGAGGCTCTTCCTTTGCCCATGGCTATGCCCATCACTTTGAACCAAAATAAGGGCCCTTTAAATTTTGAAAGTAATGAAGCTATGCAGGCCCTGTGACAAGAATAATCTCAGCTAATCCTCCTAAAGCCTCTCTGGGTAGATACCATTTATTTTAAATTGTAGATGAGGAGACTAAGGAGAGAGGATGAGCTACTCATCCCAAGGGCACTTAACTGGTGGGAGGGAAGCATGATGCAAACCCTGTATGTTTTAACTGGTAGGAAAGATGTTATAAAAATCCCCTGTAGCTAACCCCTCTCTAAGACTGAAACCCAAAGGGAACACACGAACAGGCATGTAAGCTTGCTGGTGACCACACTGATCTACTGGTGAGTGGAAGAGCGGGAAAGGCGCAATGAAGAAATGGGCTACTTTAACCACAGTCCATTGAATCCCATTGACCTGGAGATGAGAGAGAGAAGAGGAAGGGCTGGTTGCTCCAAAGTGTGGTGAGAACTGGGGACACTTGAACCCATGGACAAGGACTTAGCCACAGAGGGCTAGAGCTGAGAGTGAAGCATCCAACTGACATGAAGTGAGGGGAGATGCACAAGAACACCCAAACTTGCAGACAGTACTCATTTGACCTAGCCTCGATAGCTTGATAATCAGAACTTGACTAGAGGAAGATTACAGAAAAAAACAAACACTTTTTTTTTTTTTGAAAAAGGAAACAAGGGTAAATTGCTACAATTTGATGAACCTGACCTATACTCATGGAGACAGTAACTCTAAATTCCAACAGAGAGGGAAGGAGTCTTCACATCAAGTATCAGTGCTATCCCCTCTGTACACAGGGTAGACAGGGATGGGCAACTTAGACATTGGCTACTAAAATGAGGGGACGATAAAGGCACAAAGTGACTGGCTTACAAGGTTTCAAGAGGGAGTTTAGTTTAAGGGTATGTGGGGGATGAATGTAAAACTAATGTTCTCCCATGTAAACTATTACATAATTCACAATAAAACATTTAAGAAAAAAAAAAGAGTATGTGGAGGAAGGAAGATTCCCCACTGAATAGTTTTCATCTTGTCCTGATGGATCTGGTGAAAAGAGATGGGGATAAGACTGATAAGATTCAATAGTGAATAACTGTCATGACTAATTGCAACTGTCACAATTGTAAAGATAGAAGTTTTGTAACAAAAACAGGAGAGTGGTTAATCTTACAGTCCAGAAACAGAGGACCGTAGGATCATCAAGAGAGAAGCGCACAAGCAGAATGTGGGACCTTATCCAGAGAAGCAGTGACACCACAGATGAAGGCCAAGATGGGGCATGGAGAGAGGGAGCAGCTGAGGACTCTAGATTCATGAGAAGGGAGGGACTAAGAGCTGGTAGCCAGGAGCAGACTTGCAGAATGTGCCCTTTGGAGATGTAAATTATTATATATGCCTGAGTATTTTTGTTTTTTTTAAAAAGCTAAAGTGAATAGGGAGAAATACTGTTAACTGATGGTACTTGGAGGTGAGTATAATCATTGTAATGAAACAAGGTGTATGATTTGTTGAATGTAAAACTGATGATCTGCCCTGTAAACTTTCACTTAATCCACAAAAAAATGTTTAAAAAAAAAAAAAAAGTCCCCTGCAGTTGTAGGCTAGGGAAGGCCAAGCAGTCAGGCCCAAGTTCTCTACAAGGATTTGTGGGTCTCAAATAAATGACTAAAGACACAGATCATGTTGGTGGTGGTGGCTGTGTGTCGTGGACTCATAACGACCCTGTATATAGGACTTCTGAGGCTGTAACTCTTTATGAGAGCAGAAAGCCTCATCTTTGTCCCATGGAGCAGCTGATAGATTTGAACTACTGACCTTGCAGTTTGCAGCCCAACTTGTATTCCCTTCTGCTACCAGGGCTACAGGGCATGTTAGCCGGACTCAAAGCCAGATCTGTCAATTTCCTAATTGGGGAACCTTGGACATCCAAGTTCTGTTTCTAATTCCATTGCCATACACCATCCAAATCAACAGTTAAGCAACTAAAGACAATTTTCATTTGTTTTTTGGGGACTGTTTTGGTTGTTGTTAACTTTTGTGTAAAATGGAAAAATGAAGACCTACATTTCCCAGTCACTTTATCTTTAAAATGGGGACAATCGCTTACTAGTCAGATAGAGACTGGTGGAACCTGAGACTTACTCACCCTTCAAGTCTAGAAATGAACTTATCCCTGTTGTTCAATTTTCAGCCAAACAACAGACAGGTTTAAAAAGGAAACAATAACACTAGGGAGGTCTCATCCCTTAGAATAATCAACCATTTGAGATCCAAATAGCAGCATTTACCCAAGGACAAAGTTCAGAAACCTTAAGAAGGAGGAGCAGAAACAGGAAACAGGGAAGAAGTGAGACAGTGATGTTATACTGTGGGGACTGCAATCAGTGACATGAAACAAAATGTGTATAAATTGTTGAATGAAAAATGATTGCTCTATAAACGTTCACCCATTTCACAATAAAAAGTTAAAAATAAAACATCACTCCCACCTTCATTTACTGTTATAAAAAAAATTCAAACAGGCCATCCATGTAGATTGTTTAGGTAAGTGCCAACCTCACGTGCTCAATAAAGACAGCCAGTATCTGCTATTTCCCCCAACTACCTCCCCAGGGCGAACCGACTCCACAATACTTAACAACAACTACCTCCCCAGGGCATCCTAAGTCCTGGACAACTCTAACACGGACAGGAGGCACCAGAGACTGCCTAATGGAAGGGTCCCACAAAGACCTAACTGGCACACCCACACATCCTCACATAGTAGCTGCCCCAGCCCCCCAACCCCCTCACCTCAGATTTGAGACAACCAACCGCATTCATTAAACTGTCAATTTTCTTATCATAACGGTTCATTTTACAGTGACCTGAGTCGTCATCTTCTGTAGAGAGGTCACTTAGCCGCATCACTGAGACCAATTTTTCAGAAGATGGTGGTGTGATCTCCAAGCAATGAGGTGGATTCTGGCACAGAGGAGAGACACATGAACTCATAAAAACCATAGTTATCAGTTCCACCATGCCGGTTGGCCACTAAAGACTCACTTCTTGATTAGGCATAAAGCTAAATGGCTAAATGTCCAACAACAGGGACACAGAAAGAATATACTACACCAACCTGATGGAACATCTACCCAGATTTCAGTGTTAGTCTTTTTGCTTGAAGAATTTCTTACAGAGAACTTTAAAGCTTCATTACAAGCTTAAAAAAGAAAAGATTATAAGTTGGCAAAAGTAGTATAGATCCCAAGCTGCCAAAAGGTGGGGCAATAGAAGTCTTCTATTGGGTGGAAGTGGAATATGCAGGTTTTTTTTTTTAATGAGTAAGAATGATCAATGTTAGATTAATAATGAGACAAATCTGCAATCAAAGGTAGGGAAATTTGAATATGGACCAGGTATTATGTGACACTAAGAAATAAAATTTTAGGACTGAATATTGTTACTTTGGTTATGTAGAAAAATATTATTAGGAATGCATACAGAATTATTTAGGGATCAAATGGTGTTATGGTCTGGAAAATACTTAAGCCTAAAAGAAATAGTATTTTTTTGTTAATGCATGTATCTCTCAGTAAAATTTAGATAAAGCTGCATAATACTTTGCTTTTAAGATTCTATTAAGATAAACTGACTATAAACTGGAAAGCAGGATTTTTATGGATTTTTTTATATACTGAACTTGACTCTTAGTAAATTTACTCTGCTGCATTCATTGTCATTTCTTATGATTTGCACAGCTCTTTGCCCTCTTAAACTATGGTAGCTGACCTTCAGTGCTAACTTTCCAGAAGATGACGGCCATCAGGAATAAAGAGACGTCAGTAAAAGTTTAACTGTTCAAGTAAAACTCAAAGGGTATGATTGAAGAAAAAAAAAAATGCCTGTGTCCTTTGTCACACAACAATTCTATTTCAAGGGGGTTATTAAGAATAACTAAGAATGTGAATAGATGTTTAAAGTGAAGGAAAGGATTTAACTAAACGTATAACAAGCTTGCAGTCACTGTTTGCTGTCAAGTGTCGTCGAGTCGATTCCTACCCACAGCGACCCTGTATAGGGTTTCCAAGGAGCAGCTGGTGACTTGAGCTGACCTTGTGGTTCAAAGTGACTTTATGGTCCAGTGCATTAACCCACAGCACAAGACCAGGACTCCATAACAAGATAATATTGGTTAAATACATAATGATACAAGTAGACACACACAATGGAATACAGCCTTTAAAAAAAAAAATCAAAGGTATAATCAAATACGTGAAACAAGAATGAATGATATATATCAGTACACAAAATATGATCCCAATGACAAATTAAGAAAACTCAGGAAGGCATCCCACCTAGCTTACACGGGTCTTTTACATGGGTGGCACAATTCAAGGTATTTTTTACTTTCTTCTTTGTTCTGATTTGAGTTTTCTAATTTCTCAATAAGGGCTATACATAGCTTTTATAAGAAAACAAGAAGATATTTTTAACTGCTAAAAGATTAACAATCTATAGCTACCACAATTACAATAAAACCCCCTGCCAGAGTCAATCCCAATTCACAGTGACCCTATAGGAGAAAGAAGTATTGCTCCCCTGGGTTTTCAAGACTATAAATCTTTATGGATGCAAACTGCCACATCTTTTTTTTTTTTTTTTTTTCCACATCTTTCTTGTAGGTTTGAACTGGCAACCATGTGGTGTTTATCCTACAGCACCACACCAGGATTCCTCTCCATGGTTACTATTATAGTAAAAGAAAAAAACAACCTAGGAAAATATGATAGTAAATATAAGAAAATATTGCTAGCTTCACAACAGTGGGTACCCTTGGCATTGGAGGAATAAGTGGTACCAGGAACAAGACCAGAAGGGAATTTCTGGGGAAGCTAATGATATTGCTTCTGTCTGGGTGGTGACTGAGTAATGTGAACCGATGTATGCACTTTTCAATAAAAAGTTTTAAAAACTTAATAGTGGTTAGTGCTTGCTCTGCACCACATATACTAAAAATGATACAGAGAAGACTAGCATGGCCCCTGCACAAGATGTCACACAAATTCAGGCAGCGTTCCATATTTTAAAAAAACTAAATAGTAGCCTTATTTGAATAATAGTATTACAGGTGATGGTCTATTTTTCTGTATTTTCAACTTTCCAAAATAAAAGAAGATTGTTGTTGTTAAGTGCTATCATGTTGTTGTTGTTGTTGTGTGCTGTCAAGTAGGTTCCTACTCATACTGACCCTGTATAGGATTTTCAAGGAACAGCTGATGAGTTTGAAACACAGATTTTGCAGTTCAAACTGACCTTGAGGTCGAGTGCTTATCCTATGGCGCACCGGGACTCTTTAAGTGCTGTATAGTCAGTTCCAACTCATAGTGACCCTATATAGGGTTTCCAAGGAGCAGCTGGTGGGTTTGAAACACCAACTTTGCTGTTAGCAGTCCAGTGCTTATCCTTGAGCACCATACCAGGACCCCAAAAGTAGATTGGTTACCTATAATAATTGCTTTTGTTGTTTGTTAAGTGCCTTCGAGTTGGTTCCAACTCCTAACGACCCTGTTTAGAGTGTTGGAGGGGCAGGAGGCCATAGGGAGAAGGAAAAATACAGAACTCATTTTTCCCAAAGACAATCTGATCTACCAGAGGGATATAAAAACCACACATACACACAGTGGCTTCCAGGCATTCATTTCACCTCCTGGGGTCTTCTTCTCTTTGTCTACACAATGAAAAGGATCAGGCTAGTGCCTCAAAGGAACTGAAAAATGGATAAGTCACTGGGAGGTGGAAAGGGTCTGGCCCAAGACAGAAGCATGAAAGACAGCTATGGGACGAGTTGCTGAGAGACTGGACAAGTCACCTCTCTGGGGCCTCCACTTCTAAGATTCTGTGGCTACAGGACCAGAAGATGGCATTGAGCCTTCAGGAGAGGATCACAGCAACCTATGTCAGTAGGAAGCCATTTTCCATAGCAGCATATCTTTATACTTTGAAACTAACAAGTCTTTTCACTTTTTAAAAAAGCATCATTATAAAATGCATGATTAGCTCTCCAAAATCAAAGATAAGGAGACACTTTTGAAAGCAGCCAGGGAAAACGGAAGTGTCATATACAAAGGCAAGCAAGTCAGATTAAGCTCAGATCTCTCAGCAGAAACCATCTCAGCAGAAAGCAAACAAGAAGGCAATGGGGAAACATATATCAAACCCTGAAAGACAAAAATTGCCAACCAAGAATCCTTTATCCAGCAAAGCTATCAATCAAATATGACGGTGTAATCAAAACATTCCAGGATAAACAGAAGCAAAGGAATTTTGCCAAAGCCAACTCTGCTATGAAAAACATCCTAAAGGGAGTTCTATGGCCTGAGAACCAACAAGAACAGACAATAACCAGAGATTGACATACGTGGCAGCACCTCCCTGAATTAAGTCAACAGAAGGAAGAGTTGAGAACAGAACAAAACTATAAGAACAAACTCAGAGAATCTGGGAGGTCAGTCTATGATCAAAACAAGTACAATGTAAAAGAAGGTAAACAGTAGGAACAGAGATCCAGATAGTGAAGAAGGTCATGTTAATTACAGGATAAAACAGACTGCACTAAATGGAGAGAAAAGTTAATAGACTAGAAGGTAACCTCAAAGAAAATTAACACTTCACAACATACCAAGAGAAAGAAAATCTAAGAACAACATGGAAACATAAAATGCATGATTATAAAGATAGTCACACAGTCCATAAAAAATAAAACATTAAAGCTTCCCTCATATCCCACACCCCAGAGGTAATCACAGCTTATTAATTTAGTATATCCTTCCAGAAAATGCTATACATATAATAACACTAAATATATGCTTATGGCTCAGTGCTTCCTTATCATATGTATCTATCAACCTTACACTTTGTAATGGCTGCAAGGTATTCCACTCTATGTATGTATTCTAATTTAACCAATACCATTATGATAGACATTTAGGTTGCTGCCAATTTTTCTCTACTGTCAGCAATACTGCAGCAAACATCTTTCTATACAGACCCTTGCATTTGCACTCCTCTATGATATTTTTGGAGTCTCGCCGTGAGTTAACGCACTGGACTACAAAGTTGGTTTGAACCACAAGGCCGACGGCTCAAGCTCACAAGCCACTCTTTGGAACCCCTATACAGGGTTACTATGGGTCAGAACCAACTCAACGCACTTAACAATATCAATAACATGACTTTTTTAGGATGAATTCTTAGATATAAAACTACAGAAGCAATGTTTGGCTAAATGCTCCAATCACCCATTGAAATGTTTCAACCAGGTTCACAGACCAACCAAAGTGGTCACAAAGGCTCACTGATCCTCCATATCTTTGACAACACAAGGTACTCAGAATCTTTCAAACTTTGTTCCATTCAATAAAAATGCTCATTTTTGTTTCAAAAATGTTTTAAATGTACATTTCACCATTAATGAGCAAGACATAGTAAAGTGTAAGACAGCATTATAATTCTTTCTTGCATTTTATGTACATACATATATGTGTACATGTGTGTATATATGTGCCGTGGAGGTGGTTCCAACTCATAGAGATCCCATATAGGGTTTCCCAGGCTGTAAATCTTTATGGAAGCAGAGAGCCTCGTCTTTCTCCAGTGGACTCACTGGTAGTTTTAAACTGCTAACTGTATCCAATACACTACCAGCCTGACTTGTATCCAATACACTACCAGAGCTCCTTTTAAAATACATGTATGTGTGGATATTCATCAGCTACATGCTCAAATTTATGATATAAGTAATTCTCAAAGTGAGCACTGAGTGGCTACTAATTTGCTACCCCTGCTAGAGAGTAAGA